AGACCACGGAGGCGGTCTTCAACACATGAAGGCAAACAACTGACCATTAATGAATTTTGAAATATGTATTTTTATTTGTGTTGAGGTTTAAAGATTTGTTCATTTTTTACAGTTGAAAATATTGTTTTAGTTTGATATGATCTGGGCAACCTCTACCATGAATGGAATTGATCCAGGATCCCCTTCTTTTATAATTTTATGATTGTAGAAACTTCTTATTAATACAGAAATACACTTTGTAAAACATTAATGAAAAATATATCATTTAACTCTTACAGGTCTTTCAGTGCATCAAAACTTTGTATTCTGATGCCATGTAGACATGTTGGATAAGCTAAATCCAATACATAAATCAAATATTTTCTAATTTGTCTGGAGGTCCCACAACACCAAAACAGAACCAGTCATTCAACAGGCAGATTTCGTTGAGAGCCTTTTTCAATCATCTGGCAATCTGTGATTTAATGATTTTATGTAAGATTTAAAGTTTTCGGTAATTAAAACTGACAATGTTTTTCTATATTGAGTGCTGTCTTTTGTAACATGTTGACTTATGATGAATGTGACCACATATATTTTCAAGCAAGTGACATTTGGTGCGGAACTGAGGGAAGTGTGATTAGCTTTCTGTACTGTTTATATTGCTGCTTTGTGGCAGCAGACTGTGCACACATGTGCATTTATTAAATGGCTGCTGAATGCTTAGTTACTTAAAAACATATATAATGATACTATAGAAGTCTTTCGGAAAATATTTGTTTGTGTGTAACCTATATGATTTTAAATCAAGCCCTGATTTTGAATTGTTTATACTTGCAAACTCTCACGAAAAGATAGACTTCCGAAGACTTCCTTTTGGAATATTGAGGGAGTCTAATAGATGAGGAAAAGGAAAAGAAGTTGCTAGGGCCTGGTAAGGGTGCTACATGTTCTATTTCACATTTATAGACAAAAATGGTATTTGCATATTAGTGGCATTTATATTTATCTCAAAAGGGAGGGGTATGTGTCGTTTCTAGAGCACATCTTGAAAACAATGAAAGACTTTTCATCCAAACCTGGTACATTTATTAACCAAGGGCTGAAGTGGTGCCTTTTGTTTTTTAGGAATTTTTCAAATTTGATTTTCCCCTGTTTCCATGAAAACAAGTTAGACTTAGCTGAAACACTGGTAGGTGTCGTTTCGGAGCAGAACTAAAAAACAATTTTCATCCAAACTTGGTTCATGTATTAATGAAGGGCTGAAGTTGTGCCTTTTAGTATTAAGGGATTTAAAAATAAAATCCTGTTTCCATGGCAACAAGTTTGATTTTGACTATGTTCATGGTTGGTGTGTTTGTCCGGACCATATCTCTAAACCTACTAGGTATTCTTTCATGACACTTTAGACACACAAAGACCAGGTTGTCAATAGGTGCATTTTGCTACTTTGGGGTGTTTAGAATATTATTGTTTTCTGTTTCCATGGCAACAAGTTTACAGTTATAACCATATGTACAATTGCTGAGAATAATGAGAGGAATGCATATATGCTACCAGGATGGCACGGGGGTCTTACTCCACCCCTGGAGACTTAACCCCTGGGTCATAACTTTGAAACAGTTGAGATCCCCACCCCATAACCATATATACTAATGCTGGACATAAAGAGACAAACACAATCATGATATTAGAATTGAGCCTGGGGTCTTGCCACGCCACTAGGGATTAAGTTCTTGGGTGAAAATATGGAAACAGTTGAGATCCCCACCCTATTACCATGTACATGTATACATGTAATTGCTTAGTATAACAAGACAAATACACATATGCTACCAGGACTGGCCCTTCTGTTCATCTGTCCGGCACTCCTAAAGGGGTTAGAACCTTGACCATAAGATGCAAACCGATATTATCCCCACCCTATAATAAACAGATACATTGTATACATTGCTTTGTTATGAAGTGAATAATACATTTATGCCAATAGGATTTGCCCTGGGGTCCAGCCTTGCCCCTGGACCAAAACATGGAAACGGTTCAGATCTCTGTATCTAGAAAAGTACACGTTCATGCTGTCAGATTTTCTATCCACCCTTTTCAAATGCTGACAGAGTAAGAATTACGACATATTTGCAGTATTATATACATGTACAATGCAAATGTATATTTTGTCATGATTGGGCCTCTTGTTTATTTATGTAGCAAGAGGCATGGGACTTTATGTTTTGCAGCTGTACAGTATTTTCCCAAAAATGAAGTGATATTATTCCCCGGAAGTTGTTATAACTTTGATATTAAGGTAGCTATAGGCATAGGACTTTCTATTTCAAAGTTGTACTACATTGAGCATGCATTTTCCAAGCCGGAAGTGAAATGAAACTGGAAGTGTTTATACCTGTGCTTTTATAGGGTGTAGCTGGCGGCAGAGGACTTACTTGTACTAACTTACTGGGGTAGTTCTTAACTGACCGAGGCGGTAGGGTAGCTTAGTGGTTAAAGTGTTCGCTTGTCACGCCGAAGATCCGGTTCGATTCCCCACATGGGTACAATGTGTCAAGTCCATTTCTGGTGTCCCCTGCCGTGATATTGCTAGAATATTGCTAAATCGGCGTAAAACAATACTCACTCACTCACATGTCATCTCTCATTTTGGGAACTCTTTCATTCCGCGATATAGCTGGTTATTTGTATCTAGGTGTACATGTATGGTTTTTATAGTAGATAATAGTGTGAAAAGTTATGTTAGAACAAAAAAATGTCTTTTCATAGATAGATAGATAGATAGATAGATAGATAGATAGATGGTTGTCACAAAGGGTTACTTTCCATGCTGGTTTCAATGTGAGAGTGAGTGAGTTCCACAAAGAAGCTACAGCAACACTTTACGATCTGGGGCCGAAGGCCTTTAACTTTGATTTTGGAACCCGCAGCAAGAATTGTTGATTTGACCGAAGCATTCTTGCAAGGACATACTGCCCAGCCCTTTCTGTAATGCAAAAGCCCTAAATTCAGCAAATCTATATATTTTTCTCAGGATCAGGAATCTCTCATCTCACTAGGTCTCCTTTTCAATTTAAATAGAGTTATTTGTTTCTTTAAAAAATGACCCGTGAAGATCCGGGGTAGAATAGGTCTTCTGCAACCCATGCTTGCCGTAAAAGGCGACTATGCTTGTCGTAAGAGGCGACTTATGGTATCGGGCGGTCAGGCTCGCTGACTTGGTTGATGCATGTCATCGATCCCAATTGCGTGGATCGATGCTCATGATGTCAATCACTGGATTGTCTGGTCCAGACTAGATTATTTACAGACCGCCGTCATATAGATGGAATGCTAATTTAGGCGCTAAACAATCTTTAAAAATTATATATTTTCAGAATCTAAACGTTAGTCTAGTACATCAGCAGCTTTCTGAGTTTCAAGAATGACGTAAAAATGGATCTAAGTTCAAGGACATAGATGTGGAATGTATTTTACTGGCCAGACCGAGACCCTGAAACACATAAACAACCAAGGGTGACATTAAATAAGCAACAATTCGAAGACACACACTTGTATATATATATATATATACATTTAATATTACACAGCAACCATTGGGTGACATACGTATATAATACTGTATTCCACATAATAAGCACCCCGCTCTTATAAACGTCCATTAGATCAAATACGGTATTTAAAACAAGAAACTTTTGGGTGACAAATATATGATATATTATATAAGCAACCATTGGAACACACACATATATACATACATATATACTGAACAGCATTGAAAACGCACCACCATGAAAATGGATGTATTTTTATCCGGGCTTATGTCATATGAAAATAAATAATTGACGTATATACGACGTTCTGGACGAAGCATGAAGATGAACAGCTCGTCAAAACACATTCCTAAATTGTTTGTGAGCGACAACGCCAAAACGCAACAAATTGGGTGCGCATCATGGAAACGTGTTTTGTTTCTCGGGAAGCATGCAGAATAGGGCTATAAAAGACAGGCCTTTAAAAGCCACATCACTTGTTGCTGCAGACGTAAAGGGTACTGACACAAGAAATGCCAAGATTAACAGCAGAGGAACGTGAACGTGTCTTGGGCATGCTTTAAGGTGGTACGTCAAGTAGAGTCGTTGCACAACGGTTTAATGCCATCATTCAACAGTCCTCAGGCTACTGAGCAGATACCAGCAGACAGGAACCACCAGAGATCGACCATGGTGTGGGGCGGCATCAGTCATAACCATCGAACAGAGCTCCATGTTTGTCGTGGAAGAGATAATGCCCTTTACTACAAGAGCGCACACGGCACGTGTTTCAACACAGTACCTAGCGAACAATAATGTGCCTCTGCTTCCATGGCCAGCCCTGTCACCCATCTATGGGATTACCTGGGTCAACGCCTCTCACGTCGTCCGCAAGTACGGAACCTGAGAGAACTTGAAGATACACTACGTCAAGAGTGGAATGCTATCCCACAGAACACTATTCGCAGACTTATTCGATCAATGAAAAGACGTTGCATGGCCTGTGTTGCTGCCAATGGCGGACGTACCAGATATTGACTTTTCATTTTAACCCTATGTGTCTTCCTCACACTGATGACGTAAATGTAATTACTGTGCGGTATTCCTGTTTCCTTTGTCGTCTTTCACCTCACCTCACCTCCACATGCTTATGTCCGTATAAGATAAAAAGAATGTAGTTACCCATGATTACCGATGATATAGGGTCGGTGGTGATGCAACATCAATCGGTTGCCTGGCACAGACTCGAGTCTTCATAGGTCGCCGTGATAATGGTGGAATATATTTTCGCACAAATGAAGTTTTTCGGTTATGTGTACATTTAACGAACTCCACACCTTACTACAGTCTAATGAATGACCCGTGACGATCCGGGGTAGAATAGGTCTTCTGCAACCCATGCTTGCCGTAAAAGGCGACTATGCTTGTCGTAAGAGGCGACTAACGGGATCGGGCTCGCTGACTTGGTTGATGCACGTCATCGATCCCTTTTGCGTGGATCGATGCCCACGATGTCAATCACTGGATTGTCTGGTCCACACTCGATTATTTACAGACCGCCGTCACATAGCTGAAATACTGCTGAGTGCTACGTTAAACAACAAACGAACACACGAATGAGGCTTCCCTTTCGCTTTGAGGCAATGTAAATTACCTGTTGTTTGTTCAGTTTCTACACTACCATGGTTTTCGGACATGCCGGTTCCAAATTATCATTGTTGGTAAAGCAGAATTGCTCCGATTAGTCGGAAGGGGCAGCTGATGGTTAATGTAACATTAAGGTTTTTTAACTGCCTTCTATTATCAAAAGTCCTTATTGCCCCATGTCCGGGACTTAGACTTTTCAACCGTTATTCAAAAATGACAGAAATACCATTATGATTACCATTTACACATTGTGACGCTACAATTTACACGCAAATTTGCATTGTCCCGTCTAATCACCCTCCTTATCATTAACGACGATATAGAGGTTTCTACAACTGATAAACTATATTACCTTCACACTTTGCCGTTAGTAGGCCAGTTGTGTCAAACCATTAATATTAATATTTTGTTTTGAGCAATGATACTGAAACGTGTATAATGTGTATGTTTATATTTGATTTTCCTACATGTTGACATCGTACAAGAAACCGGACGCTGAACCACTAGCAACCTGTACATGGCCACAACTAAATGAAAACAAGGTAAGTGTTCCAGTACTCTTGTAAAACGTGTAATTCTATTCTCTACCATTTTGTGTTATGTTGGCTTTGTAACGGAAGAATACACATGGATGAGAAGGCAATCAACTAGCCTCTTGTACTTGGTGATCAATAAGCATTACGAAGTTCTAGATATAAGTCACGAGTCAGCATTCTTTCCATCAGTACTCCTCCTAGGCAGGTTCTTGTTGAAGTGTTCCAGGATTCTCTTCCAGGAGTCTTCCTGGGCTTCAGCAGTAGCCTTCATCTCTCCCCCAAACAGAAACAGGGTTTCTAGCAAGAACAAGATTACAGATGTCTCTAAACTCTCATGATGATATGAAAGAAAATATAATAATCGATATGGTTATTTATACAGACAGATTCACATTACATGCAGCTCACAGACTAACGCTTCTTATCCAAGTTTGCAAAAAAATAGAATTAGAATTCTATGCTACACATTATGATAAATATGGCGGAGTGCATTACTTCCTACCTTCAAAAAGACAGTTGTACTTCCCTAGGATTTCGTCTTTTAATGTATTTCGGACTAAAAGACTGGATTTAAAAAAATATTAAAATTTGGAAATGACATATGCCTGGCTCCGTGGAGAAGAAATACTATATTGATATAAAGCATGTATATACCTTCATTCTTTCTTATGGTGGTTAAGCTGGTTTGCTACAACTTACCCATAGTTTCGTCCAAATAGTGTTCTTTACACATGGGTGCATAGGGGGGTTCTATAATGTGACCAGCCCCAGGGTAGTACACACCCTGGATGTTATGCATCTTGTCCCTTGGGATCTTTTTAAACAGCTCTCTGTACAGCGTGGGAGACACTGTTCTGTCATCTTCTCCAGTGATCGAGAGGACCTGGACATCCTGTCTCCATATCTTAACAATACCATACTACGTGTTTTCTAATAATTGAATAAACATTCTAATATGCATTTGGAAAGCGATTGTGGTTGGTGAGTCAGAGGTTTAAAATCACAATTATCACCTCTGATTGAAACATGTGATTTTACGGCCACATAAAATGTTCAAAAAGTGCATCGCCCAGTACTTATGATGGAATTGGGCAACAGTTAACCAGGTTCCTTAGATTAACAACCCATACGTTTTGCAATGACAAACTAGGTTACCTGTATTTATCTCATAATTACTCCTCCATTGTAAGAAACAAAATATAACAATAGAAACCGTTTACATGAGTAATTTGAGGGTACCCTCTGACCACATAACTTAACTAATATATAAATTGCATTTTAGTACCACACACGTTTTCCTATCTGCGGGGATACCATGTGATATTCTATGGACTCTTAGTTTCCGTTAAGATGAAACATCCACTGACAACAGTTTCAACATAAACGTGTATTATATATGGAAAGAAAGTAGCTATATATTCTCAAGAGGATATTATACTTACGGGGAGGATAGGGACATTGTCCATAGTAAAGTTGAAAGTGGGTGTAAAGTACTTATCATCCTTTTTCATTATGGCCCTGTAAAGACGTTATAGACATTACAAAAGTTGCATTAAGAAATACGAATCAGGCATGGTGGTGAGGTGAGGTGAAATTGGGTTTAACGTCGCGTCCAAGATTATTGCACTTATATAGCGACGTGCATGCACGTGTATGTGTGTGTGTGGCTGCTTGTACTAGTCCGGACTGATGCCGATTTATAGTGCTAGCTCACTGAGATACTATGCCGCAGTTTAACATGAATACCCAACTCAGGCACAGTATACTGACTCCGAGCCGACCAGTCCTTGTTTTAGTCCCTTAATGCCGAGCGCCAGACAGGGTAACAACAAGTACAAACTTTTAACGTCTTTTTGTATGACGCGGCCCGGGATCGAACCCTGGACCTTCCGCTCTCCGGGCGGACGCTCTACCACAAGACCACGGAGGCGGTCGAATCAGGCATGGAACTTGCAAGGTATTGTCGATCAATCAGTTGATGTTGGATATATGGCAGCTTTAAACATAGTTCAATAAATAGGCTAATATAACACTGATAGGACAGTCCAATAAGAGATAGATAGAAACGATTAAGTTCAAGAACCGACCACTGAACATGGTGGTGGTGATATATATTTTCCAGTATTTTATGGAACAAATTATTTTCGACTTCCATCCCAAAGACGACCTAATGATCCGTCACTAACTATTTTTCTCAACCCACATGGCCAAATGGGTCCAAAACAAGAATCATAACAAGTGTGAATTTGGATTTTAGGCACAGAACGAGCGGATCATAGCAACTTAGCAATTTAACACTGTCAAACGAACTGCAAAAAACACACTGTAAACAAATTTGTTATCATTCATATTTCTTCGAATCATTTGATTCCCTTTTATAAGGTGACTATGCTTGTCGTAAAAGGCGACTAACGGGATCGGGTGGTCAGGCTCGCTGACTTGGTTGATGCATGTCATTGATCCCAAATGCGTTGATCGCTGGTCATGATATCAATCCCTGGATTGTCTGGTCAAGGCTCGATTATTTACAGACCGCCATCTTATAGCTGGAATATTGCTGAGTGCGGCGTTAAACAACAGACCAACCAACCAACCAACCCTTTTATACATTATTTCAGAATTGGTTATACAACATACATGTATCCTTTTATTCGTTCTCCGTTGATATCTTGATCTCGCAAGGTTGAAAAAGGTAAACCGTTTATTGTTGTGGCAGCTGTAACCTGAAAATATATTTTGTGGTGTGTTTTAATAATTTCAAAAAGTCAATGCCGAAGAATAACAGGTGTCGAAAATATACCAGAACAGATTCCATTGGATATATAAGTGAAAATTGTGACAACATTTATATGATATGATCACTGAAAATCAATGAGGACATCAAGTGTTCGCGAAAAGGGTATTTGCATGTCCTTATCTGTTGGTAGTTGCGGTAAAATAAGTGAATTAAATAGTTCAGTGAATTCTTCTGAATGCTTTCCATAACATCTCTTGAATAAAATGTACATGCTCTAAAATACCTTTGCCATTGAGTAATGTTGACTGGCGTCTGATTGTACATGGATATTGCTTGACTTGAAGGGAAATGCATTACTGGGAAATCATATTCCCTCTTGTACAGTTTCGTACAGAGGCTGCCATTGTTTTCCATTTCTATGCTGTTTGTTTGTTTGTTGTTTAAGGCCGCACTCAGCAATATTTCAGCTATATGACGGCGGTCTGTAAACAATCGAGTCTGGACCAGTCAATCCCGTGATTGACATCATGAGCATCGAGCCACGCAATTTGGATACGATGACATGCATCAACCAAGTCAGCGAGCCTGACCGCCCGATACCATAAGTCGCCTCTTACGACAAGCATAGTCGCCTTTTACGGCAAGCATGGGTTGCAGAAGACCTATTCTACCCCGGATCTTCACGGGTCCATTTCTATGCTATGCGAAGACCCAGATAAGACATTGAATGTGCCTTCTCAGTTGTTTCTTTGGTATCTAATTCTGCTGGATAGATGATAGAAGATTGTTGAATCATTGTTGAATGACATGAGGTCATCAATATATCTGAAACTGATGTCCTGTGAGGGAAATGAAGTTTTAAAATATCCGACATTTTTTCGTGACTATTTCTTTCAGGCAATAGGTATGTATACAGCGAATATATACACACTTTGATCTACAAAGTGTCTGTGAAGAAATCAAATATATGCATAGATAGATAGATGCATACAGAAAACATATGTTGTCTATCAAATGCACTGTCATCTGTTAGCAGAACTGGGCATCAGCGGTTAAGGATACAATTAATGGATTTACCATGCTACAAGCATTTGTGTTTTGCGCAAAGGACACTTATATTTTTACCACAGGGTTTTTGAATGAGACGGTTTTGTACAGATTGACGACGGCAATGTCCAATGTAACATAATCAGGTGGACGTTCGGGTGTGTTAAAACAGTTTCAAACCTTAGGACAAAAGGAGACCAGCATGTTTGCTACTGCTCCGCCAAAGCATGTACCCATCACACCGATACCACCAGGAGAAGCTTGAGGGTGCTGACTCAGCAATTCGGCTGCTTCCTAGAAAACATAATTAAGAAGAAGTTTCTTTAACTTCTTTCACATCACAGGCGCGAGAGGGCTATACTGGTAGTTACAGTTTGTTGTCTAATCACAAAGTGCTACATAAAGGTATAACTTGTTTAAACATTTGAACTGAAAGGTGAGCACACAAGTGTTGTCTCAAATCCTTTTGATATTTAAAGCAGCTCACCTGGAAATAATCATAGTCAAGCTCTTCATAGAAACGTGGTAGCCCGTTGTACTGAAGGTAGGCCAATGCTAGAGTCAGAAAACCTCTCGAAGCCATAAGAGCAGCTCTGTGTTCAAACAAACCACCAGCGCCACCAAAGATATCAAGGACAGCAGGAAATGGTCCCACACCTGGCAAAATAGCAAAGACAAAGTTGGATTGGTCTGTTCTTGTAATAGGTTAGTAGTAGTATTCATTTAAGATTCAAATTTAATTCAGAGGAAATACTGATAATATAACAATGTATCTGTATTTGTCCTCAGAATCAGGTTCAGCAACAAAATTCAGAAATATGTATTAGCCTCGAATGAATTATTTTAACTGCATAATCACAGGGAAAAGGACAATTGATATCATTTTCAACTGCTATTATCACCCTTAGGTACACTATAGTTATACTATAAAGGTATTATGCGTTGTAAAGATGTATGTGCGTTTGCGTGTGTATGCGTGTGCGTATGGGCGTGTGCGTGTGTGTGCGAGTGTACTTAGCAGAACTTTGACTTGGCAGCTCACGATGTAACTTCGGTTACTTGTAGCTGCCAAGCCTCACTATACAGCTACCAACCTATAGGACATGTAATCATGGGTGACTTCTCTATTATTGACAATAACGATGTTAGTCAGTTATTCCAATATGGACCAAAATATCGTGAGCAGCCTCCTACCATTTGGATCACAACTTTCATTATCATTATCATTATGCATGATGTCGAAGCATATGCCAAAGAGGAAGAGGAACCTGTTGAATGTCTTTCAAAATGGGTTAAGTCAGTACGTGATGTCACTGGTAGAATTCACAAACTGAAAAAGAGGAAACAGAATTGGAATGCACCCGTTCTGCCCCAGTCAGCTGTCACCCAAAGACTTGCTGCTCTACATGTAACGTTTGTAGTTGTTCCCACTGACACGGAATCAAAAAACATAATCATTATATGTAAGCATCATTAATTGTTTAATCAAAGAACTTGGTATCAGTGATATATCAAGCAATGTCACATGACAAGCCAGTATGGTAACTGAGTAAGAAAACAACGCATCAGCACTACAACGTTTGGCATGAATGTAAAACCTGAAGATATATTATGTCCATTCATCTTTTGTACTGGATTCCATAGCTCAATTCAAATCCGTACAAAGAGAGATATATTGCTGAGTACAGCAAATGTACCACCAAATCCCTGTCTCAATGATTATTTTCCGAGGTTCAGGACAATTTGTTAAAACTGTCATCAAAAGTAAACTGAGAAAACAATATTTGAAATTCTGGACTTCCTTATTGATAACATCTATGTAAATTTTGGGGGAAACACATTTAGGCACGAAGTATAGGCGCCAAATATTGCTCCCCTTCTTGCTGATCTGTTTCTTATGCATATGAGTCAGAATTTCTGCTTGGAATTCAAAACAAGGACAAACCACTCTCCATAAGTGAAGAGGTATGATCGTCAACTTTCCTTTATGTTGAGTAATATTCCAACAGCTCCGGCCTTTCATGTTTACATTTCACAACTTTTGAGGTACCATCAACTTTGCTCTTGCGACTCTAGCTTTTCGCGAACACCTGGTGTCATCTCTGTGTAATAGAGATCATAAATGCATGCTCTTGACATAAGCGGGATCATTCACTTAACTTTGCGTGACAGGTGATTTCTTGTGAATATGGTAAGGGTTTTGTTGCTTTTTTTTATTTTGTTTACCTGAAGGAATGAACATTGTCCCTCGTAAACGCTCATCTCTTAAGGGTACTCTTCGCACTCCCTCTCCTAAGTACCATCGTTTCACCTGTGTTGTAGCCATCACACCTGACGAGTTACTCGTTGATTGGATGGATTGCAGATGAACATGATTTAAGTGTGCAGATATTGTGATGTCATATGGAACAGTGACATCTTTCTTCAAGAGACGCGTGGCTTTTCTGTGTTTAGCAGATGGAACCATGGCCCAGAAAAGACCCATTGGTTCAACGCCTAATTAAAAATGAAAGAACTGTGTGAAGAACGTGATAAACCATTTGGTCAGGGTCCCTATATTTTCATCCGGTCGTAATTTTAAATAATTGAAATACATTACAATATAAAGAATACATTAACAAACACTCATGTGCGAAATGATACTACTATATTGATACAACTAGGAGTGCTTGCATATTCATTCAGGCGGCGAGCTTATCAGTGGATATGCGTTTTAGCCATGTCTTGACATTTAAATGGACACCATGTCAAAGTAAAATGGACTCACCACAAAATGAACCTCCTTCACTTGATTGGACAGTAGTATCCACGTCACCAGCCTGATCGGCCGTGTAGTGTGCGCAGGATACAAACTCCTTCCCCTCACCCATCAGAAGAGCAGAAAGTGTGATCTTCTGACGCCGCTGGAGGCCTGATACTCTGATAGACACAGGCTCATCTACCAATGCACTGAGAGGCTCTACTGTCAGAGTTGTGAACACTCTTGAAATGATTTCTAAACGAGCAACTGTTTGAGCAAGATACGGTCTTTGTGTCATTTTCATCATGAACAGGACTTGCTGAGGGAAACGTTTCATTGTGAAACTAGGCAGCATGCTTATGTTTCATGTATGTAACAGCCGCTATTTGTATAATTGCCCTGCGAAAAAGAGTGACATTGATAGGATTGCTACACTGGTTATAACTCATGCACATGTAATGGACACTCTGAGATATACCATGAGACTTATTACGTGAAATAAATAAAATGCAAATATTTGAATAATTCAATCTACCAATGTACTGAAAGGCTCTATTCTCAATGTTGTGAACACTCTTGACATGATTTGTAAACGAGTAAATGTTTGAGCAAGATACAGTCTTTGAGTGTTTTTCAACTTGAAAAGGACTTGCTGAATGAACTGTCCTCTCATTCTGAAACTAGGCAACATATGTTGCATGTATGTAACAGCCGATATGTATGTAAAATATACATACCAATTTGTTTGTAAGCATATGATGAAAAACCTGATATAGTTTAGGCTGATATTGCCATCCTTCACGCTTCTGAACATGATGAAGGTAGATTAAAAAACCGTAAAAGCAACTAAATACCCATAATCGTAAGAAACATCTGCCAGAAACGTCCACCATGCCATGCCTGCCCACTCCGATGTAACATAATACTGAACCCGCCTTACATATACCACCGTCTAGGCGACGTAAAGGTCAAGGTGGTTGATGTTGGGTATGAAGTTCTCAGAAGAGTCATGGGTTTGAATATGTAAAAAAACCTGAGCAAGATTTAACACGGTTATCGACATGCCTGGCATGAATCGAGCACTAGGGTCAGATTTTAATGAGATTGTCATGCATGCCTGCTAAGTTGCCATTTACTCGGTTGAGTCACACCTAGGATTATATACATCATGAGGACTACAGTACCGTGTCGCTCGACTTTTCTCCACACTGTGCAACCCGTAGTGTGTCAAGTACGTGACTTTCAGTTTCTATCTGCCATACCTAGAAATCGAGCTTTTGTAAAGTCACTGATAGTCGTGCTGGTATGGTGAACCTGTTTACAATGAATGCATCCATGACACGCTGTATCATTTGGTTGGTTGGTTCGTTGTTTAACGCCGCACTCAGCAATATTCCGGCTATATGACGGCGGTCTGTAAATAATCGAGTCTGGACCAGACAATCAAGTGATTAATATCATGAGCATCGATCGACGCAGTTGGGACCGAAGACATGTATCAACCAAGTCAGCGAGCCTGACCACCCGATCCCGTTAGTCGCCTTTTACGACAAGCACAGTCGCTTTTTACGACAAGCATAGTCGCCTTTTACGGCAAGCATGGGTTGCTGAAGACCTATTCTACCCCGGAATCTTCACGGGTCCGTTCAGAGTCGTACTAATATATGATATAGACTTTTCACTTCCAAGTTCGAATACCAGGACACCATACATGTAATGACTTTCAGAACAAGAATGGTTGTATATGCTATGTGATATTTACTATTTCAGCTTTAAGATTAATTAATGTAACAATATATTCCTTTTATGGTCAGTGAGATATCAACCAAGCATTCAGATCAAATCCCATCTCTGTCTCGTTACAATAAAGAAATACCGTTAGTCTCAAGATTTCAAGTTCAAGGTCATACACGTAACTCAAGGTCAGGATCCCACAAGCAGCGCTGCATAATGGCTTTAGGAGACCCTTTGGCGTTTATATAAAAACGCACTTGGCACTTTAATAATCATGTGTAAATGCCCAATGTTTTGTATGACATAACGTGCCAGTTTTCAAATCTGTTTGGTTCTAAAACTGTTGTGTCAGAAAAATAGTGTAATTATTTTGTCATGATTCTTAGTGGTACCAAATCAAACACTCACAGAATACCGTTAGCTATTGTGGGTAGTTTTTATTGAGTGGCATGTCCACGGCATATTGTGCTCCGGAAACGAAATGATTTACATACGGACGGACGGACGGACAGACAGATGAAGCGTCGACTATACCCCCCGACATTATGTGCCTGGGGGATAAACACAATTATGATGGTACAAGCGTGTTGCAAAGTGTTAGACACGGTCTCTCTACTTCGTTTTGAAGCAATAACGAAATAGAAATAGACAGATTTTGTATTTTAATCAATAAATAAACGCCGGGCATCAAGTACTTGTTCAGTGATAATTTATCGAAGGCAATTTGATTGTACATGTAAAGGACAATTTGCGTTATTTTAGGTGTCCTACTGACAAGTATAAGGGGTAATATAAAGAAATGTATTTGGGGGGAAATCTTGGCAATATGGTTTAAAAACATCAAAATACATCACTGATTAAGAAAAATGAGGTTGACAATTATTAAGGTCAAAATTAAAAAAGGAAAAGCGGTAAAAATATGTTGAGCCCTGCTAGTAACTACACATGTACCGAATACATTTTGAACAATAAGAACCGAGTAATGGCCATAAAAGTATTTCACATGTCTGTCGTGGCGGAATTATTACAAATCGGATTCAAAACTTTGGAAGCATTCAGGTAGAGCATCAATGGCGGGAACCTGCATGTTTCAGCTCCATTGGTCTTGGCCATTGGTCTTAGGAGTTATTACTCTAGACGCCGACACGGACATAAGCTCACGTGACTTTAAGGTCAGGTGAGCTATAAAGGCATACACTATTAGAGATATTTGTTACCTACTACCGTGCAGGGATTTAATAGTGGTTGCCAAACAGCCATACATACATTTCTTTTTTGTCAAGGCGACTAACAGGATCGGGTGGTCAGGCTCGCTGACTTGGTTGATGCATGTCATCGATCTATTTTGCGTGGATCGATGCCCATGATGTGAGTCACTGGATTGTTTGGTCCAGACTCGATTATTTACAGACCGCCGTCATATAGCTGGAATATTGCTGAGTGCGGCGTTAAACAACAAACAATCAGTCACTGGTGGTCATTTTCATTTTGAGATATAAAAAATATACCCATGCTTTCGACCACACAAGTAAGCAGCCGATGCAATTAATTGTATATTTCTTTTAATAAAGAAATAAGTTTACATTGAGATCACAGACGAGATTAACAACTCAATTATGTACAAACATCTGTAATAATGTTTATTTCCTAAAGTCTATCAGTCTTCCGCCTCGGCAGGTACTTGTTGAAGTGTTCCAGGACTCTCTTCCAGGAATCCTCCTGGGCTGCAGCATGTCCCTCCATCTCTCCTCCCCACAGCATCAGTGTCACTAGTGAAGAAAACGTTGTGTAACCACAAAAGATGGAATTGTATTGTGTGACCATTAGGATGTTCTCTCTCGTCTTTTATACATTTGTCACGAGTAGATTGAAAGAGATTTGTTTCCATTGTTCGTTCTATACAGAAAACAAAAAAATACCGTGTGCAATAAATGCAAAAACTAAAACCTCAAATACACATTGAACGACTACATACTTATCCAAAACAAGAGTCATCGGGAGATGACATATTCCCCCGGTCTTGTGCAATTCGGAAATGAAGTTTAGCTACTTGCACCCCTCTTTTGGTTCATTGCCATTGGATACATTCAGTTCAGTGGAGAATAAAATGTTGTTCAATGCTGTTAATCCCAATTCATCAAATTTTCAAATCGGGTGGAAAATGTCGTGTTTGTTATAATATACTGAACCGCAAAAGAAACGTCACCATGCATAGATATTGGAGAAACCTTATTTGTCCAAACACTGTAAACATCCTTTGAGACACATTTAAAAGATGAAACTTGGCAAAACTGATAATCAAGGTTGAAATTAAAGTGTCAAAAGTTCTTAAAGTGAAACACAACACTAGTCTCTGAGAAAATGGCATCACAAGTCACTATCTCGTGTGTCCGCCATGTGCATTGATGACTGCCGTGCAACGTGGATGGATGAGGCGGTTGATGAAGGCCAAAGGCACTTGAGCCCCCACTCTGACGAACGCCTGACGCAGTTCAGCTGCAGTTGTCGGCCTTGGTCGGACGTCATTCAGCCGTCTTTGAATCTCGTCCCACAGGTGCTCAATGGAATAAATCGGGACTGAGGGCAGGCCATTGCATGGTTCTGATGCCATTTTGCTGGGGGACGTCTCTTGTTGCTCTCGCTTTTTGGGCACGGGCGTTATCATGCTGAAACTCGTGGTTGCGGCGACGTGCCAAATGAGGTATGGCGTGTGGTCTCAAGACTTGATCAATGTACCGAGCTGCTGTGACACCATTGCCTCTCCCTGGACCGATGTTCTGGAAGACCACAGGGCCGGCCCTCTGTGCAAGACCAATTCCACCCAACACCATGATGCTCGGACTACCCAACGAGTCTCTCTCAACAAGCATCCGAATAAACGCTTCCCACGGCGTCGCCAGACTCTCACTCTGCCATCTGCTGTTGGTACCGTTGCTGGAGCCTGTATATGGTCCTTGCGTGGATTTGAAATGCATTGTCTACTTGCCGGGCGGTTTGTCCAGCTTGCAATCGTCCAAGGGCTTGGTGTCGCTGATTTCTTGTCAATCTTGGCATGTGGTAGCAATTCAATAACGAATGAATGTTATCCGATCTGGGTGGATTCTTATAGGGTAAGAAATGGGGGAACGCATGTGCATTTCAATTTGCACGGAACTCACGTGTATCGGGTTACCATGGCCGTTGCCGTGATGCGTTTGGGCGATCAGTTTTATTGTCATCTGCTTTGTTTTTTTTATCACCAAATTTAATTTTTCCGGACAAGGTAATGTTAAATTTTAGAAACTTTGACAAAATTTACCCAGATATTTAAATGACAACTTTTCACGCAATCTTACGTGGTCTTTTGCGGTTCAGTATATAATGTTTGATGTTTTCCAGTGTCCTTGAAAGTTCAATGTCATGAGTTCGAGTCCAGTGGGATTAACCTCAAACTACACCAGTATTTACTGATGTTTACGTTTCTGGAGTTGTCATCTCCACCGGTACTGATCGCCTCGATCCCCGGCCGCGTCAAAAAAGGGATGAAGCAAGGGTTGGTCGGCTCGTAGGGCTAGCACTGTGTAACCGGAAATATTCCGGACTAGTACAAGTAGAGCGCACGCCCTGACGCTCGACGTTAATTTCCATTTCACCTCACCTCATGCGGGTACTCGAGGGTTTCACCAAGTAGTAAAAGTCCATGACCTGCATCGTTTTGAGCTTCCCTCCTACATCAAGTTGACACTCCGTGATGTGGTGTTAAACAAAACTCAATCACTCACTTACCACTGACATCTATTACCCTCGTATATTTAGCCATCATCCGTGATGACCGTCTTAAAGACGAACTCCACATAAAAAGGCACACAAAGACAACATGTGTGCATAGGTATTCTCTTAACGGAATAACACGGTGATGAACATCCTTACCAAACTGTTCGTCCATGTAGGAAGCTCTACATAAGGGTGCATAAGGTGGCTCAATGAGATGACCAGCTCCAGGGTAGAACACGCTCTGGATGGTGTGCAACTTTTCCTCTGGAATCTTCCTCACCATCTCTTTGTATACTGATGACGGCATTGCTGTGTCATCTTCGGCGATGATGGACAGCATCTGCGCCCCGTGTCGCCATACCTGCACAATATTAAGGTGAGTGAGTTAGAAGACTTAGATATCACCCCTACTGGCACAAGGCTACCAAGCATTGTTGTCATGTATTGTATATTAAGAGCTGTAACCGTGGCAAATTATTTGCGACGCATGACTCTACTTACTTATTTAATTTAATGGGCTGACGTCATGTGACGCTGATCAAATTACCCCCCCCCCCCCCCCCCCCACAACCCCAACCCCACACACATACACCCCCCCCCCCCCCCCACCCCCCCACCCCCCCACCCCTAGGAATGTCTGTCCCTGGCCACTGAAATAGGCAATCTTTGAAAGGTTAACATAACCACACCAGGAAGGCATTAGCAACACACTGCAGTACAACAGCAAGGTCGCTCTTGCTTCTTCTTCCGCCATATTCGTCCCGCGGCGACGCCATGTCAGATCAAGGCCCCTCGCCCAAAGTGTTACATACATGTGTCAGCTCAGCCCCACAATGCACTTGTAGAATGTTTAGTGTCCTGATCACGTGATTACACTGTTTGTTTGTTTGTTTGTTGTTAAACGCCGCAATATTCAAGCTACAATAATCAAGTCTGGACAAGACAATCCAGTGATTGACATCATGAGCATCGATCCACGCAATTGGGATACGATGACATGCATCAACAAAGTCAGCAAGCCTGACCACCCGATCCCGTAAGTCGCTTCTTACCACAAGCACAGTCGCCTTTTACGGCAAGCATAGGTTGCTGAAGACCTATTCTACCGTGATTAAACCGAACAAAGGGTATACAAAATCATAATTATAAATATATTGGATGATCACAAATGTACGGATAATAAAATGTAACATCCAAAACAAAACAATTTGGTGGTGTTCTATTATGAATATTATATTTTTTTCACTCAAACGTAAGGCCGCAGGCAATTAAACGGAACAGCCTGTCGATTATCCGTGTTGGAGTATTTTCCATTTTCGTGGGCGCTTATTACAGAATATCTATCAAAACACACAGTTAATGAGGGGCGATCGGGTAGCCTAGTGGTTAAAGCGTTCGCTCGTCACGCCGAAGACCCGGGTTCGATTCCCGACATGGGTACAATGTGTGAAGCTCATATCTGGTGTACCCCGCCGTGATATTGCTGTAATATTGCTAAAAGCGGCGATAAAACCATACTCACTCCCTCACACAGTTAATGTTAAGATCGGCCTCTAAAAATGTAATTATTACATTTGCTCTTCCCCCATGTTTTGTGTAATAAAGTACGGCTTTGCCCTGAACTGTTAAAGCGTCATAGAACTCGGACGCAAGAAGCCTGTACTTGTTGTGAGTGAATGAGTGAGTGAGTTGAGTTTAACGCCGTTTTTAACAGTATTCCAGTTATATCGCGGCGTGTCAGCTTAATGTGGGAGAAAAGCCCCAAGTGAAGCAGGTCTCAGACGTTTACCACTTCGGTGAAACCCACGAGCACGGGTATGATGCTGACAAACCTAGAAACATAATCGGGGCGAACCGGGATTTGAACCCACAAACATAGGTTTCTGGCGTGCCAAAGGGACGCACAGCGAATCACGGCGCCTTAGACGACTGGGCCACCCGTGCCCCCTCACCTGTAGTTGTAATGTACATAATGACTGTATTCTCTCTCTCTCTCTCTCTCTCTCACACACACACACACACGCACGCACGCACGCACGCACACACACACATTGTTTACGGTATACACACTGAATGCATCTAGATAATGCTTGGCTATAATTTCTACGTTATACACACCAAATATATGATGATGATTGGCTATAATTTCTACATATAATACACCATGGAAGTATCATATTGATTCTTGGCTATACTATCTACATATACCCACCGGGAGTACTTGAACATCGTCGTTGTTGAAGTCGAAGTCGGATGTACAATACTCATCGTCAATCACTTTAAGTGTTGGCCTGAAAATATTTCAAATACAGACCGTCAACAGGTACTTGACCTGTGTCGTGAAGGTTATATCATTTTTTTTAACTTTTTAACTCCAAGACAAAAAGAATTAAGTTTGTGGCGATAAATTGATGCTACAACAATACTGACATAAAGGAACTTTGCTTTGTTAATCAAATACTGTAAGTAACGTTATATGCGTTATTTAGCAGTATTACTCCTATCATAGGACTGCCTTCAAATATCATAGACAACCAAACAGGTGAAACAGGCAATCAGTTGTGCAAAAAAGGAGCTGCATCCAGTTGTTTAATCCAGGTAACAACTAAAAATTGACCTTTGCAGACAGGCATTAATCCAAGTACTGTCCATAATGTCCAACCATTGCGACCGCCCGAAACCCTGTTTACTCGTACTTCTCGACAAACATTGGGTATTTGGGAGCCTTCTGTCCTCATTTTGACAAATCATGGTACAAATGTATACGTTTAAGAAGGGGCAGCTTATTTGAATTTACTTTTAATTTTAAATACTTTACACACGTACGTGTATCCTTTAAAACCTTGTCGCTTCAAACCTTGGTCATTTAGTGGAGGAAACAGAGATCCATTTATCGATACTGAAGCCGTTACCTGAAGATGCAACAGAAAATGTTTTGTGGTTGCTGACATACATGTATATGTGGATAAGGTGTCCAAACAACCAACTGCATCTGATAGCCTGAAGTTCCCTTGGTGTGCACCCACTCTCAGTCTATATTTTAGTATACCTGTCGCAATGTGATAAGAGTTTTATGTTGCTCTGTACAATGGTAACAGTTCTACTGCACTGTAGCTCACCTTGGATTAAGGATCCGAGAACAGATTAATGGTGATCAGCTCTACAAACTTGAAACAACGTCGTAACATTCCCACAGAGCTTTCTGGGCCTCCTAACTTCTATAGAGAATGCATTTTTGAAGTTCAAATTATTTAAAAATGAATTTACATTAGAAGTGACAAATGATTTGGAACCATTTTAACTACCGTTGATATCCTCATTGACAGAAACCAGTATATACCATTGGTCCATGTTTCAACTTCAAATGTCTAACCATATCAGAGAGGAAGGTGCAGTTTGCTGGTATGTTATCATGCACACACACACACACACACACACACACACACACACACACACACACACACACACACACACACAGAGTGTTCTGCTTTGTAAAGTAGAACTGCGTTCTGAGTTTCAGCTGACACAGATTGTCAATGATCAGGTTTATAGCATATACTAACATATAGAAATTCATAAAGAAGGAATTCGTACCTTTGGACAGAATGATGCCAGCATGTTTGTGATGCCACCTCCGAGAGAGGTACCTATCACACCAATACCTCCAGGGGATGCCTCTGCATGTTGACTTAGCCATTCCGCAGCTTCCTAATCACAGGAGCAGGGTTTTAATGCCATTGTCAGCCCGACTTCGGCCATATCAATGTGTATGGTGTAGTGGTGGCTTTGTGAGTGATCGAGTGAATGGTTGAGTGAGTAGTTGAGTGAGGGTGGTTGAGTGAGTGAAAGAGAGAGTGCAAAATACGAATAAATCACGACTCCTTGCACAAATCAGTGGTTAATAGAATGAACAACGACCAACATCGTCGGGCTTCTATGAAACACAATAAGACTGGTCACACATTGTGATCAGCCGTTGCTCATTTTAGTCGCCCCACGGACAACATGACAAGTGGAAATTACCACGTGTGCATTCGGGCCTAGTGGCTGAGATGTAGGGTATAAGTGAGGCAATCGATGCAACCAGTGTCCTAGCTGGTCCAGGCTCGCTGACTTGGTTGATGCATGTCATCGATCCCAATTGCGTGGATCGATGCTCATGATATTAATCACTGGATTGGCTTGTCCAGACTCGATTATTTACAGACCACCGTCATATAGCTGGAATATTGCTGAGTGCGGCGTTAAACAACAAACCAACCAACCAACCAACCTAGCTGGTCCAACCTGGTAAGTGTACGTATTTGACACACAATTATCACTCAGTAGGAAGACGGGACCTTTTCAAGTCCCTGAACAGTGCATACTCAGCATGCACAACTACAATACGCAATGAGTGAGAAGTTTCCACTCTTGAAGGAATGGTCAGTAAAGGACTTTGTGAAGGTGAGGTAACATACAACACGAAACACGATCTGTGATAACAATTGAACAGAAAGGTTTTCCAGTATTATTAGGCCTTACTGAAGTTAACTTACCTGGAAATAGCCATATTCAAGGTCGTTAAAGTCGTTAGGAAGTCCGTCATATCCTAGGTAGGCCAGTGCAAATGTAAGAAATCCCCTGGAGGCGAGAAGGGCCGCCCGAAATTCAAATAGACCCCCTGTGCCTCCAAACAAATCAAGGACAGCAGGGAATGGTCCGACGCCTAGAACATTAAGCATTCTTCATGTTGGGATATACTAACATAAAATAATGAGAGTGTAACTGAATTAAGCATTTTAAAACAAATCGACATTTTTTATCAAAGGCATCAGTCTATACTGACAACGAGGCTGTCACCAAGCAATAACACTTAAGAGTTTTTAATGTTCGTTTGTTTTATCCTAGGTTTATGAATGTGTTAGTGAATAGGTGATGGTGAATTTGAGAAGAAATAGACATTTATTGTGCGTTTTCATATTTCTCCTCACTCGACTCAGCGTCCCTGTAATGACGCAGTCATCAAGAACATTTTACAAAATTGACAAAGAGGTGGGGTGAAATGGGGTATAACGTCGCGCTCACGTGCACGTACGTGTGTGTGGCTGCTTGTACTAATCCGGACCTGTGACGGTTGTACAGTGCTAGCCCACTGAGATACCATGACGGAATGTAAAATGGATGCCCCACTCAGACACATGATACTGACTTAGATCCTTGTACATGTTTTACCTTCTGATTGCATGGCGCCAGGCATGGTAACAAGAAGTGCCATCTTTCAGCGCATAAACTGAAGAGGACATCCTAGGTACCAAATTTTATCTGACTTCGACATTATGACAAACGTTCTTACCTCAATTCATGCAATGTAATAGATTCGCATCATAGCTATAAACGATCATTTGTGCAATAAAAGTTTTAAAATGAGTCTTCCTGAAAAATCCGATACGAGAAATGGTTGTTAACATAAAGCACAATGACGCAGACAAAACACTTAACACTGGCCAGCATATAGCAGAGGTCATATGTACGTATTGCATGTTTACCTAAAGGAATGAACAGTGTTCCTCGTATTCGTCCAATTCTTAAAGGGAGTCTTTGCACTCCCTTTTTTAAGTACCACCGACGCACGTCTGCAGCAGCCATTACCCCTGACGTGCCACTGGTTGCTTGGATGGATTCAAGGTCCATACGACTAGATTGCACCGATATTGTGACGTAATACGGAACTGTGATGTCTTTATTGAGTAGGCGTGTTGTCCTTCTGTGTTTCACCGATGGAACCATGGCCCAGAAAAGTCCCATAGGTTCAACACCTGGAACAATGTTATCATTTACTATTATGAATAAACTATTCATCGCATTGTTTGCTGTCAATTCCGAATAAGTAGGCGTTGGGCCTCCATAGTCTGATACCAATGATTTTTAGATAGATTTCAAATAAGTGCTAATATGTATCACTGAGAAAAATATTAATATGTCAATGTCAATTTCCATCACTCACTGGACATACTAACCAATATTACATGTACAATCAAACAGAAAATTACGTTCGTCAGCAGCGCTGCTCGAAAGAAAGAAATTATCATGGGAAAATGCTATTGAAAAAATGTTTTCTCTTAAATATGTATGAAATAGATACCTATTTCGCGTCTTTCAGACGAGGTCAAATAATAAACTTGAGCCCTGATCACAAATCCCCACAAAGTGAGACATTGACATATTAGATGGTTGAGAAAAGTGGATACAAAATAGAAATTGATGTAAAACATCTGAAGGCCTGTTATATTGTTCTACTGTTCGTTCTAGATGTTGATGGGACTCCTGCCAAGTGAAGTACGCTCACCATTAAAGGACCCGCCTTCACTTGACTGAACAGCAGTGTCCACGTGACCATTCTCATCAGCTGTATAGTGTGCGCAGGATACAAACTCCTTCCCCGCACCCCTCAGAAGAGCAGAAAGTGTGATCTTCTGATGCCGCTGAAGGCCTGATACTCTGATGGAGACAGGCTCATCTACTAAGGCATCGGTCGGTTCTACTATCAGAGTAGGGGGTGAGGTATTCAAGGATAACGCTCTTGAAATGACTTGAAGTCGACGGATAGATTTGCAATGGAATTGTTTAGAACCGTCCGCCATGTTCAGCATCGCACGTGCTTGTAAAAACTGCAGGGCTTTTCTCATTTTCTAAAATGGTAAAACACAACCATTTGGTATCTCTAGTTGTTTTACAAAATTAAGGAGATTTATAAGCTTGACATGCAGTAGAAAATGTGTCCAAACAGTACGTCTCTTCTTTCAGAATATAAAAAGAAACTGTCTGTCTTGAGGAAATGACGGAAACATAAAATATGACACAAATACAGCCTCCAAGTCGAACTCTGCAATCAAGCAATCACTTCAATACTGTATATGTATTACAATTGATTAATACTGAAATTATCTGCAATATAATGGAGATGACCAAAGGTTAAAAGCGTAAACACTATGTAAAGTATACATACTTCATTAGCTTAAGTTTGAACACTATTTTCAGCTCTTGAGGAGATATTAACATGCTGACTTTCCGAGTTTTAAGGCGAGTAGTATTGGCAAAAATCAATAAACGCCTTGTGGTATTTGTGTCCATGTAATTCTCTTGTTCACGAAACTGGGAATAAACGAAGATAAGTACGCCACGTCTTTAGCTGTCAAATCCAATGCAATATTCAAATTATAAAATATCATGTGGGTCCAAACAGAGCTCGAGATAATCTGTGTATTTGCGTAAAATACGCATTACATAAACTGATACGCAGACAAATCAAATCCTATTGTATCAAATGCACAACAAAAACTATAAATATGCTATTTAAATATGTATATAAAATTACTGCGTATATTACAATCATTAGATAAAACGGTTGCGTATGTTACAACAGTTAGATAAAATGATTGTGTATCAGCCGATCGCAAAGTTCACTTACCGACGGTTACATTCGGAAAAGCTTGTGCGACAAACATACTGATAGATGCCAATTAAAAAGCACATCCTATAAATATTTTTTTCACATATACTTTTCCAGAAACGATTTTCGGCAAATGTACAATGACGATTGACGGATAACAAGAAATGCAGAAGTAAACTGCAAATAAAGTCGCAATCCGTTTTAGTTACTAATTCCTATTTTATAAATCTAGAAACTGACTATTTATCATTGTCTAGATCCAACAAAACTAGCAATGTAAGAACAATAATGAGGAGTATAATCCATATAAACAACGTAACATACAGCATTACTCAGTCAATACATTACCATTGAACTCACGGTTCGTTTCACACAATTCCGTATTTCATATAAACAAATATAGGATACGCTTTTCACATTTATTTCAACATTATCCCTCCAGTTTATTCTGAGTAATAACTGATTATTATACCTGGCACTAACATCCTCTAAACATTTAACAGACTGCCACAAGATTTTCCTAAAGACTCCATGTGTTGCGACCTGACTCGACTCAGACTTAGATAATATGGTCTCGTGGTCAAGCGTACTCTCAACAGGAAGTGTTTTGCAGGCTTGACAAGCAAGGTTATATTTCGTCAACATGTCTTTATGCTTAAGCAGTGGTCGACTTACATAAATTCCAATCAGATGGGGGTCGTCCTCAGTTCCAAAGAACTGAAACCAAACATCAGATATCCCCGAGAAACATGACACGCACGGCTTTTCTGGGGCGCACTGGTTTAACTACGGAAACCCGTTTGCGTCACAATTTCTAAACCTTGACTTATTCACAGGCAAGCGTAACTGCTAGTTTGTCCTAATTTAACACTCATAACGCATAAGCTAATAGCCTATTATATATGCCCTGTTTGTCTTAAAAGATGAAACTGTGCTGATGTTTATTTGTTCGGATTGATAGCCCTTTTTTTATTTGTATGAAAATTTTAGAAAATTTTAAATTTTAAATCATGTTTTATTGAAGTTTTATGTACGTTATGTTATGTATGTTTTATTTTTATCACTGTCGGAAATTTGCAGCAGTTTGAAAGGGAAATTAATATTAAAATTGAAACCCGCACCTTTTGTTTCACACTGTTCCGTCTTGATAAGTGAATTGTCCATCTGTAAAACCATCAGGTCCTTATCATAGCAGATGCGGGGGCACGGGTGGCCCAGTCGTCTAAGGCGCCGCGATTCGCTGTGCAGAGTTGCGTCCCTTTGGCATACCAGACACCTATGATTGTGGGTTCGATTCCCGGTTCGCCCCGATTATGTTTCTAGGTTTGTCAGCAACATACCCGTGCTCGTGGGTTTCACCGAAGTGGTAAACGTCTGAGACCCGCATCACGTGGGGCTTTCCTCCCACATTAAGCTGACACGCCGCGATATAACTGGCATACTGTTAAAAGCGGCATTAAACCCAACTCACTCACTCACTCATATCAGATGCAGGCTTTTATATTTTATATAGTGAGTAAGTGAGGTTGGTTTTACGCCGCTTTTAGCAATATTCCAGCAACATCACGGCGGGGGACACCAGAAATGGGCTTCACACATTGTACCCATGTCGGGATTCGAACCCGGGTCTTCGGCGTGACGAGCGAACGCTTTAACCACTAGGCTACCCGATCGCCCCCTTTTATATTATAAATGATGGCATTTCAGGTCTATAGTACAAAGACTGCATAATGTAGTCTTTGCTTTAATGATGACTATCAATAATGTTAATGTTTATTTTAACGCTGTGTCATGATTTGTGCTTGACACTATATATATAATCTTTTCTTGTGTGTGGGAGATACGTTTCCCTTTAACAGTGAGTGAGTAAGGTCTTACGCAGCTTTTAGCAATATTAAAATCCTAGCGGGGGACACCGGAAAACGGGCTTCACACATTTTCCCATTTGTGGAATCAAACCCGGGACTTCGGCGTGACGAGCCAACGAATAAATTACTAGACTAACCCACCGCCCCTTTCCCCTTAACAAATGTATTTAGGGTATATGAACAACATGTGATACTCATCGTCAATGCTGTCCTCTCAAAACAGGGCATAGTGCATACAAATGATTTTAAGCACCCGAGCGCCGAATGTTTATATCGTTTAATGCACAATGGAATATAGTGAACGTAATTTAAAACGGGATATTTTGACTGAAAAATATCTCTCTGTACGGAGGAAGCTCTTGCATTTATAATATGTATTTAAATTTGAGGCCTTTTTAATTTTAAAGACCAGTCTTGCATGCCCACATCTTTCAACCCTTGTTTAAACAGATTTATGAAATATGTATGATCGCCAATTTCTTGTACGTGTAAAAGAAAAGTCGTATAAAACTAATACATGTCTAACGTATCACTAATCTTCCATCTGAAAAAGTATATATGTATGTATGTGTTCCACTGGATTATCACTTCACACCTATCTCTGTGGTAACGGCACGGCCTTACCTTCAAGGAGAATAGTGAATATAACAAGAAAATAATATCATCGATATACAAAACATGTTTGTTTGTTTATTAACAACGCACTTAGCAATATTCCAGATATATTAATGTGGCCTGAAAATAATTGAGTCTGTACTAGACTAGTGAATTAAATTAGGAGTGGATGAGTTTGGTTTTAAAGCCGCTTTGAACAGTATTGCAGTTATATGGCGTCACAGGCCAAAAGCCGGATTTTCCACCTCAGAAACAAGCGTAAATACTGTAGGAAATGCGTACAATGATTTGCGTTTGTTACCCGATATGAACTTTGGGCGTTTATTTCATATGAAGACGCACCTTTGAAACGTGTGATCATCGTGTATATTGCCGTATGCACAAGCTCCATTGTCATGAATGCGATGCCCGGATTTGAAAACATTTCCAAGCATGAATACAAAATTTGATACTCAAGTCAATACTCGTATTCATAATGCATTTCTTTAGATTGTAATAGGTGCTGAAATGTCCGACTCCTTCCTAGGTTTACAAGGATTTGAAATATGAACATTTCCTTAGGTGAGGAAACATTTGTAAATTTTTAAATGTTTTCATGGCATAGAAAGTTTTCTATCATTGTGGATGTGTGTTTGTTATATTCAAGCTATATGACGGCGGTCTGTTAATAATCGAGTCTGGACAAGACAATCCTGTGATTGACATCATGAGCGTCGATCCACGCAATTGGAATACGATGACATGCACCAGCCAAGTCAGCAGCCTGCCCACCCGATCCCGTTAGTCGCCTCTTACGGCAAGCATGGGTTGCTGAAGACCTATTCTAGCCCGGATCTTCACGTGTCACATCATCGATATAGTTGGTATCAAAACTAATCAATGACATAGCATGTCTGTCTTCTTACCAATTACCAACAAATAAACATTTCAAAGCTAGGCAAGCATGGACACATCATACATTCTCAGGATCGAGTTTTGGTCTGTAATGTCATAAATTACATGGAGAAAAAATGGGATTAATAAGGGGTATGACATTGAGTCAACTATCACTGCTGTTAAGTTTCAACCTTCACAATCATTTGATAAATGGCATGACACTTTTCATTATTGCTCTCTGGGGTAAAATAGTATTCCATCTTTTCAGCAAATGTATTCCCTTCAATGTCACGAAACTTCTCAATTGTTGTCATCTTTTAAATTTACTGTCACCTTATTCACAGTCATCGGGTACCTCACACCAGCACGTACTTTTATTTGCTATTGTACAAGAACTCGTGGTTAGCCGAGACATGACAAACACACCTATCGTACAACTTGTCGCGGACCAACCGCTACCCCTTTCTCCATAATGGTACGCACCAGTTGGCCGACATCATACATAGTCATACAGGGTTCATTATCAGGTCACAACTCAACTTATCCTGGCTTATCAGTAGTTACATATGTAATTGAAATCAACTTACCATCTTAAATGGAATGCTCTACACAATTAAGATCATCTTTACATTTGATGAATCGAATAAGATTCAATAACATGAATGTAACATAAAGTGTCTTCTTTAAGTATGAGCCCATTTTGGTCTAGTCACTTATATAATTACTCATCGTCAACACTACACAGGTTTGTAAACACTACGTTACTCCTCACCCGTGAATACATACAGCTGATATGCATTTCAATACTGAGCGAGTGAGTTTTGTTTGACGCCTCTGTGAACAATGTTTCAGTTATATCACGGCGTGTCACCTTGGTGTGGGAGGAAATGGAAGCCCGAAATGATACAGATCTTCAATGTGTTCCACTTTTATGAAACCCACGGGCCCATGAATAGAACTGACAAACCTAGAAACACATTTAGGCCGAACATGGATTTAAACCTATAATCATGTTTCTGGCAAGCCATCGCCTTCACAACTCTGGACCTCTTTACTGGGAGCGGTTCGGGTGGTACCATCCGGCCTTACATCGAATCATTCTTTTCCTAACTTTATATCATGAATGGGTGAGGTTCCAAATTGCATTCTTATTGGTCTGACAGGAGAAAGAGAAAACCAGATTCATTTACACTTTACAAGTGTCAGCTTGAGTTTCTATAAATATTCTGAACAGAGCTGCTGCCTTAGTAACCATCACACCCGAAGGACCGAAAAAAAAGCGTTAATAAAGTTTCCCTTTTCAGAAACGCGTAGGTGATGCGGCATCCTGTCCTCAAAATCCGGGTTTGTCGGAAGACGGAAGAGCATGATAAAGTTGGAACTGGATGATTACAATGTGTAACCTGCTTACACGAAACGAGCTATGACAGATTTACTTCATTGACAATCTTACAAAATTAGCATTGAAGGGGGTCATATGTTACGATTTGAGTCTTTAAATATTTGTCTCTGATTAAGAAATGAACAAATGGTGATCTAAACAATATTCAATATAAACAGTGCTTACATCTAGAGGTTATTAAGGTGTTCGCTTTGTCAAGTCGAGGGCCAGGGTTCGATTCCCAACATGGATACAATGTGTGAATCTAGGCCCATTTCTAGCGTCCCCCGATATTGCTGGAACATTGTAAAAGCCACACTCACTATGAGATGATACGTTCATTTAAGAATTGACGCGCAAGCTCCGACGTTCATACAGTTTGGCCCTCACTCTATGAAGGTTCATACTTCAATGAACTCACACAAAGTGAAAGTCAATTCTTATAATTTTTTATCACAATTTCTTACCTCAAAGGATGTAGGCCTAGATCTCTAATTTTATTTAGTATATGTGACTTCACTGACTTTACACTGTCAGCCATACAACAACCAGCTGTATCGCGGAATAAAATAGTTCCTCATTAGGAGAGGTGACATGAGCGTATGTCTGCACAACATCTGCAGAAACATCTTATACAACACGTCTTCAAATAACATCACCATTATCTGTTAAGAACTACTTTTGTAAGTCTATCACAATGACAGCACGTCGTAATACATTTACAACAAGTACAAGACGTCAAACTGTCCGACACGATAAACGTGACGGGAGTGATTAAGAAAGTTGTTTTTTGACCTGTGGCGGTTACATGTTTTAGTCATCATTGATCAACTGACCAAACATTGAAAGGTGATTAAAGATATGCCATATAGACACTAAGATAAAATCATAAATTGCTGTCACTGTCAGCTTAGACACGGAACGTGGAATGTGGAAGTAGTCCGTCAGTGTCATTTCAAGAACACGGTCTCGTGAAAAACGTATTCATTGTGGCGTTCATACACTTTTCGCGGTCATGTGACCTAACTCTCGTCCAATGGA